GTGCCCTGGGTGTCTAGTTGTTGTAGTCTAGTTGGATGCAGCGCCTGCTGTGGCTGTGAAGGCCAACCCGAGAATGACAGTCTCGACTGCAGCGAGCGCAGATAAACGCTGAAGCGGGTGCGTTTGACAGTGGTCTAGACCTCCTCTGAAATCTATTATCCTCCGCCTGCCTCTTCAGTTCATCCTCGAATTGCTGGAGTCCCTTCTGCACTTTACATCTCCAGGCAGATCTGTCCGCAGCTACTGCCTCCCAAGTATTGATGTCGATGTTCATCTGCTTGAGGTCGCGTTTGCAGGCATCTTTGAAACGCAGCTGAGGTCTTCCGGTGGGTCTCCTTCCTGATGCCAGTTCTCCATACAAGAGGTCCTTCGGTATGCGGCCATCAACCATGCGTGTGACATGTCCCAGCCAACGCATGCGTCTCTGTTTCAGGAGAGTGAACATTGAAGGGACTCCTGTTTTCTCGAGTACAGTGTTGTTGGTAACATGGTCTTTCCACGTGATGTCAAGGATGCGTCTCAGGTTCCGCATGTGAAAGGTATTAAGCTGTCTCTCCTGGCGAGAGCGCAGGGTCCAAGATTCCGAGCCTTAGAGAAGTGTACTCACCACACATGCCATGTAGACTTGTACCTTGGTGTGCACTGTGTCGTGACGCTGAACCCCGGTTCATTCCGAACACAGCGATTACAAAACACATAACACCTTGCCTCAGCAACCGTTACTACCACCGTGTACTCCTACACACACCAGACCCTTGAGGCGTACCACTAGGTTTGTACTGGAACACAATGAGTGAACATATGGAAGATATTTAAAGGCCGTCGGGTTTTGTCATTTAATTACAAAGAATAGACTCTGACAAATAATAACATATTAACATACTCTATTAGGTCAATACACTTCCAATACCCATAGACCACTTGACCTCCGCGGTCACCACCCACACTCGTAACTTCCGCCTAAGTCCCTAATACGGAATGATTACTACAACGCTCCACACCCGGTTAGTCTTTCATTCAATACTCACATACTGCAGACTTAACTTGGTCACTAAGATCACATCAGGTTCTCGCATAGCTGTCTGTTACACTTCGCTGCTGCCACAAACGGAGATCCAGAGGACTTCTCAGTTCAACTCCCACAATCAGACTGATTCCAATCAGCCATCTACCTCAACCATTTCACCCTGCCTCTCATGGAAGGTATAATCCGATTAACCTTATCCCTAGAAGCGGTAATCTTGTTCCTAGAAGCCTGAAGAAGAATAATTCCTCTTTCCAGGAATTATTAATTTGGCTAAGTAGCTGCGGTCTTAATCCCTTGACCTTTCTTAGATATGTGATCCAGTCTGTCTACTTAACATGTACTTCCAATCATCATTCGTTAAGTGTTGTAGTAATGATCCTCTAGCTAATAATTCCTACTAACTTGTGGATTACAACATCTGTCAGTTTGGCATTTTCCCAAACGCGCTTTGTGAGCCAGACCAGTGTTGTTGCGGCCTTCCCGATACGCTTGTTGAGCTCAGTGTCCAGGGAAAGGGTGTCTGAAATTGTGAAGCCCAGGGACACAAACTCGTGAACTGCCTCCAGCACATAGTCTGCTATATATATATACAGGGTAGCTCATTGACATCTTGTCCCATCACCTGTGTCTTCTTCAGGCTAATTGTCAGGCCGAATGCAGAACAGGCTGCGGCAAAGAGGTTGAGTAGCTGCTGCAGGCCTTCTGCTGTGTGTGTGGTGATCGCTGCATCGTCGGCGAAGAGGAACGCCCTGAGGATTCGCATCTGTACTTTTGTCTCTGCTCGGAGTCTGGTATAAAGCTTTCCATCAGATCTTGTATGGAGATAGATGCCTTTTGTGGTTGTTCCAAAGGCATGCTTGACGAAGATCGCGAAGAAGATGCCGAACAGGGTTGGAGCAAGAACACACCCCTGTTTAACACAACTGTTAATGTTGAATGGTTCAGAAGTTGAGCTGTCGTACATGACTGTCCCCTTCATGTCCTTGTGGAACGATTGTATCATGCTGAGTAGGATGGGTGGACAGCCAATTTTGGCCAAGATCTTGAAGAGTCCGTCCCTACTCACAAGGTCGAAGGCCTTTGTAAGGTCAATGAAGACAATGTGCAAGGCTTTTCTCTGCTCCCTGCACTTTTCTTGAAGCTGTCTCAGGGAGAACACCATGTCAATGGTCGACCTCTCTGCTCGGAAACCACACTGTGACTCGGGGTACACTCTTTCGGCAAGAATCTGAAACCTGACCAAAACAACCCTAGCGAAGAGTTTGCCAACGACGCTGAGGAAGGATATGCCGCGATAGTTGTTTACATCGCTTCTGTCACCTTTATTTTTGTAGAGAGTGATGGTGCTTGCATCTCTCATGTCTTGTGGATCGAGCCCTCCCTCCAGCACTGGCACAGAAGCTCATGAAGCTCAGATTTAAGTGTTCCACGAGCGCATTTGAGAACTTCAGGCGGAATCCCGTCGTCTCCAGGGGCCTTCCCCGAGGAAAGTGGTTTCTCAACTTCTTCCACAGTTGGTTCAAGATCAAGTTCTTCCATGATGGGCAGGCATTCAATTGCATCCAAAGCTTCTACGCTGACCAAGTTCTCTCTGGAGTAGAGTTCGGAGTAATGTTCCACCCAGCGATTCATCTGTTGATCACAGTCTTTAATGATCTCTCCAGTGGATGACTTTAGAGGAGCCGTCCGGTTTTGTGTAGGGCCTGTTGCCTGTTTGAGCCCTTCGTACATTCCTCTTGTGTTGCCGACAGCGGCCGCAGTCTGGATGCTGGAACAGAGTCGAAGCCAGTAATCGTTAGCACAACGCCTTGCAGTTTGTTGAACTCTACTGCGGGCAGTACGGAGGGCCTGTAGGTTCCTGTTTGAGGGCAGTTTCTTGTAGGATGAGAGAGCTCGTCTCTTTTCCTCTACGAGGGGTAACAGTTCCTCTGCACTGGCCTCGAACCAATCTGCTGAGTTGTTCTGCCTCTTACTGAAGGTGGACATGGCAGTGTTGAAGATAGTGCCCCTGAGATGTAACCACCTCTCACTTGCGCTATCGCAGGGTGGTACAGGAAGGGCATTTACCAGCGCCGCAGTGAATTCCTCCACCTTGTGAAGGTCACGGGTCCTGTTTACGTTAATGCATGGTCTTCCCTCGTTCTTTGCTCTGTGAATTTTCCGGGGCTGGAACTTTACTCTGCAAACGACGAGAGAGTGGTCGGTGTCGCAATCTGCGCTCTGGAAGCTGCGGGTCAGTTTGACATTTCTCAGATTGTTACGCCCCGTAAGCACCAGGTCGAGTTGGTGCCAATGCTTAGACCTGGGATGTCTCCAGGAAACCTTATGTTGGGGGCTTGGTGTCGAAGAAGGAATTGGTGATGCAGAGATCATGACGGCAGCAGAACTCCAGGAGACGCTGCCCACTCTCATTCATCTTCCCAAACCCAAACTGGCCCAGGCAGGAAGGCCAAGAGCATTGATCAGAACCAACTCTTGCATTAAAATCTCCCAGGAGGAAGACTGGCTCTTGTTGAGGTATGTCTCTGAGAGCTAGGCCGAGGTCATCATAGAACTTGTCCTTCGCTTCGGTAGAGGAGGTCAGTGTTGGTGCATAGGCATTGATGAGGCTGACCATTCCTACTGCTGTATGAAGCTGAAGTTTGATGATCCTTGCAGACCCCTCCATAGGCGGTACTATGGACCCTAACAATCTGTTCTTGATGGCAAAGCCAACGCCATGCTACCTTACCTCTTCTGGTGGTTTGCCCTGCCAGAAGAAGGTAAAGTCCTTCTCCCGTATGCTGCCGGTTGCGGGCAGACGTGTCTCCTGCAGGGCGACTATGTCCATCTGGAGCCTGCGCAGTTCATTGCTGATCACAGCTGTCTTGCGGGCGTCGTTCACTTCCAGTAGATCTTCCGAGAGACCCGGTGTCATGGTCCTTACATTCCATGTGCCCAGTTTGAGAGCTGGGTGGCTCTGTGTTTGTTTTCTTTTGCCTGGTGCACGGGTTGACGATCCGCTTATTGGATTGTTGCCTAAGCCCCACGCACCCAGTGGAGCAGGCGGACCGTGGCGGGACAGCACCTTATTGGCTGGGGGCTGCCCAGCTTGAGGTGGGCGGTAGCTGTCCTATAAAATCGGATGATTTCTCCCACCGACAGAAGCAACCCCTGGCGCCTTACTCTACGCCAATTGAGTGATATCACAAGATATCACACTAACGTGATATATATCAATAAAAAAATTCCACTAGGGCAGTGAGGTGGCGCGAACCTGTGACTACGGCATTGCTTGCTGCATACTCTAACACGGGACCAAGTAGATATCTGTAGAAATCCGGTTGTATGACGTTTAGTAGCCGGAGGTCCAGTTGTAGAGTGTGTGACTGGCAATGCCTTGGTCGTAGGTTCCCGATACCTCACAGCCCTAGTGGATTTTCTCATTGATATATAATACGTTATTGTGACTTCTGTGTGTGTTTGAGTAGGCTGAATGCTCTATGGATGATAGTGCCTATCAACGATGCACGAAGACTAAACCAGAAAACGAGAACATATGATTGTTTGTTCTTGGTAATCTAGGTAATCTTGGAGCAAAACCCTTTGCATCCAAATGATGCATGGGGTTAAGAGGGTAAAAAGAAAAATGAAGAGAGTCAAAACAAAAGATCAAATAAAAGACAATAGGTTGAGGTTAAAAGAAACATGAAAACCTCACAAAAATACAAAAATAAAATGAAAGTTTCACATGCACTTCACTGGCGAAGTTGGAACAGAGACAGTCTGCTTTAGGAAGGGTCGACAGTAGGTTACATGGTATGCGTTACATTGTGTATGAACAGGGTCAGGCATTACAAATGGAATTGTGTGAGGAGAGAGTAAGAGAGACTGTGATCCATAAACACAGACACAAAGACTTGTATACATGTTATACACATCTCTATACACTTGTATTGAGTGATAATGATATTCTCATCATCTTGTGGTCCAGGTCAGACGGTAAGCATTGTGAATGTGACAAGGGAACACTTCGAGCTGATTTGGGAACGACAAGGCGAGTGGCTTGATATTGGTGATTACACAGTCAACACGGTGTTCTCAGACGGCACCCAGCACCCTTGCAATAATGAGGTATGTGGAAAGAGAGAGGATATGTTAGTGTGTGCGTTCGTGTGTGTGTGTGTGTGTGTGTGTGTGTGTGTGTGTGTGTGTGTGTGTGTGTGTGTGTGTGTGTGTGTGTGTGTGTGTGTGTGTGTGTGTGTGTGTGTGTGTGTGTGTGTGTGTATGTGTGTGTAATTACCTAAGTGTAGTTACAGGATGAGAGCAACACTCGTGGTGTCCCGTCTTCCCAGCACACTTTTGTGTGTGTGTGTACTCACCTAGTTGTACTCACCTAGTTGTGCTTGCGGGGGTTGAGCTCTGGCTCTTTGGTCCCGCCTCTCAACTGTGAATCAACAGGTGTACAGGTTCCTGAGCCTATTGGGCTCAGTATCTACACTTGAAACTGTGTATGGAGTCAGCCTCCACCACATCACTTCCTAATGCAGCACATCAGCCTCCACCACATCACTTCCTTCTACTTCCATTTGTCAACCACTCTGACACTAAAAAATTTCTTTCTAATATCTCCGTGGCTCATTTGGGGCCGGATACCCTAACTCTACTAACATCAGAGAAAGAACCCTGTTGCGACCCCAGAGGGCCGTAACATAATTGGCATCCCCAGCGGGATCCGACCCCTTGTCAAGTATGTTTGACAGGGGTGGTGAAGTGGCGTAATCCCTGTAAATAATTCCCCCTGTGTGTGACTATTAGGACGTTATACGTCCTGTGCGGTGCTCAGAGTGACTAAGTGCAATATTGCGTAGTGCGGTGCTCGGTGTGATTACGTGCAACATTGTATAGCGAAGTGCTCGCTGTGATTAAGTGCAATATTGTGTAGTGTGGTGCCCGGTGATTGCGTGCAATATTGGCAAGTGAGGCGCTGTTCCATCTCAGTGACAATGGCAGAAAAATCGACCATCGACGATCTGGACGATGTTCAGGCTTTTCTGAACAGGGAGGACTGTCTTGCCAGATTAAAATATCTGGGGAAACAGGAACTCGTGCTGGTGAGTGCCTACCTGGAGATAAAGATACGTGCCAGTGATTCCCGTGTGGAGATCTTGTCCAAGGTTCACCGGCATTTGAAGGCCGATGAGAAACAAGGAAGTGAGGCACAAGGTACAAAAGAAAGTGAAGAAGTAGCTTCCACTGAAAAGGAAGATAAAGGCAGTGACATTGACAGCGATGCAGGTGAGCTGAATATTAGCTTGCTAACAGTCAAAATGCGTGCCTTAGAGATAAATCGCGAGATAGAATGGAAGAAGTTAGAATTAGAACGAGAATTAAAAGATAAAGACATGGAGATAAAAAATAAAGAAATGGAGATGAAAGATAAAGAATTGGCGATGAGGCGTTTAGAATTAGAAAAAGAAGAAAGAAGAGAAGAGCGAGAAAGAGAAGAGAAACGAGAAAGAGAAGAGCGAGAGAGAGAACAAAAAGAAAGAGAGAGACAACATGAGCTAGAAGTATTGCGGTTAGGCGGTGGGAGGCAAAGAATGGAAACAAGTGGTTTCGATCCGGTAAGGAACATCAAAATGGTCCCGAAGTTCAACGTGAAGGAAGTTTCGAAGTTCTTCGCCGCCTTCGAGAAAGTCGCAGCCTCTTTGGAGTGGCCAAAGGAGAATTGGGCCATCATGATACAGTCCGTCCTGACTGGGAAGGCCCAAATCGCCTACTCCACGTTGTCCCTTGATGACTCTGGCGATTACGATAAGGTGAAGAAGGTGGTGCTCATGGCTTACCAATTGGTACCCGAGGCTTACAGGCAAAAGTTCAGGAACCTGAAAAAGACCTCAGAGCACACTTTCACCGAATTCGCCACAATCAAGGAGCGACTTTTCCAGGAATGGTGTACCTCTCGGAAGGTGGAGACCAAAGAAGACCTCGAGCAGCTCATACTGTTAGAGGACTTCAAAGACTGTCTGTCTGGAGACCTGAAGACATACTTAGAAGAGCAGCAGGTGGAGACCTTGCGTGCGGCAGCCACCATGGCTGAAGAGTACATTTTAACGCATAGGCCTTCTGCTAAGTATGTCCCAAGGAATTACCCACGCCGGTTTGACAAACCTCATCAGGAAGAGGAGAGACCCGTCCCACGAAGCGCTGAGAAGACGCCCCCAAGTAGCCCTCGAAGGACCAGTCCTAACAGTCCGAAACACCGGAGTCCGAGGAGGAATATGGTGTGCTGGACTTGTGGGCAGAAAGGGCATGTAGCTGCTATGTGCCGAGGCAGAAGAGGTAACGGCGCTCGTAGGGAGGTGATGTTGATAAGCTGTGTAACATTACCAGCAGGAAGCCAGTCTACAACTACGCAGGAAGAACCAAGATTGTTTTCCCCTCACACTTCAAGCGGGTATGTAACGAGTGATCATACTGGTAGATCAGTTGTAGTGCTCAGAGATAGTGGAGCAGCCCAGTCCCTGATCATGAGAAACTCGTTACCCGAGGGAGTGAGTGTGGACGGGAGACAAAAGGTTATCCTGGTTGGGTTTCCTAGGACGCAGTACATCGCCCCCTTAGTGCCGGTACATCTCGACTCGCCTTACTTCAGCGGCACATGTGCGTTGGCAGTAGTCGATACCCTCCCTATAGCTGGGATTGACTTGGTACTAGCCAACGACTTGGTGACGGATTGGAGCAACAATCATCCCAAGGATACGGACGAGTCGGCCGGAACAGCAAGGTCTGAGGTAACAGCAGGCAGTGGTAATGTCCAGGTACAGACAGACCCGGAATTAAATACTATGATTAATTTGTCCTCTCACCTACAGATTGACAACATCCTAGCAGAGTCTCCTGATTCTTCTCCCAATAAGAAACATGAGGTTACGATGGCAGAAACGACTGAGCATGAAGAGAGGTCTCGTGTGCAAGCACCCACGGATACCAACGAGTCTGGAGCGAAGGCGGATGAGTACTTGCGGTATGGCAAGGTACAGCGTTCATTGAACCGGCCAGAGATTCCCCAGACGTCGGAGGTATGTGAAGTATGTGCGAAGGTTTTAGTGCCCTCTTCGGTCCAAACCAGGCTAATGGTTATAGCCGGCTATGGACATTACAGGCTCAGGAAGCTTATCCCTCGGTTAACCAAATGTTTCCTAGCGGTATTTTGTTTTATTCTTATGTGTGTTCTCGGTAAGGACCAGTGGACGACCCGACAGATGATGGCTCCCATGAACATCGTGAAGAGATCCCAGGGATTGGAGATTTGCACTGCGAGTGTTGCAGTCAAAGGAGGGACCTGGAAAGTGATGATTGATACAGGAGGTACGAGAGATGATAATATGAGTGACTGTTTCCGACAGGTTGACACCCCCCGTGTGATTGCTGAGCCTAGATGCAGCGTTATACGGAACGTTGGTCGACCTGACGGCGGCAGAGCGAATGCCATCTTCGAAGCACGAACAGCCCTGTTAGGACTAGGTGTGGACCTTTTAGAGGCGTATGCAGTAAGTATTGACTTACCCACTGTCACTGTCACTCTAAATTATCAGACCCCTGTATTCCAGGTTCCCGTCTCCCTGAAGGACTACCGGACCGGTACTAGAAATGCCGTCTGTGATCAGCCATCATCGGTGCCACGACTCAGGGAAGTGTCGAGTCGCCCTAGATCGTGTCTACACCAATCCTTACTCGGGACACGTGACATTATGCCCCTGTTTGACATCGCAGTGGAAGTGTGGAAGATTACATCAGGCAGGTCATTGCCTTATATCTGCAAGTTTCCGTTGTGCCAGAGTTCCCCAGTAGTACAGTTCTGTGGACAAGACATCCTCACCACTCCAGTTTATAGAGTACGTGAGTCCGTGTGGAGTTGTATCCACGTACTAATTTGGTTTGTGTTTTTTTTTTATAGAACCCCAAACCAAATTCTTTTTGGTGGGGAGGTGTTACGGACCCGAGCCCAGCGTTCGAGCACGGAGCAGTGACGACCGCGCCATCTGTGGGTCAGCTCCCAAAACCCCCTCCAAATGGACGGCGCCATCTAGTGAGGACGAGATATACTGGCCAGAAGAGCTAGTTTCCCATCCTGATCAGCTCATAACACAGCCGCTGCTGACCTCTGGTGAGGTGACGCTTAGACAGCAACGCCATCTATGGAGAGGATAGGTGGGCGTTTGTGTCTAAGCCTGTAAGTGAGGTGCCCTAGAGTGTAACCGGTACTGATGACGTGTCTGATTACAGAGTCGACCTGGGACTGCTGTAATGAACGTTGGATCAGTCTACCCGAGGCAGCCGTAGTACCTCCGAGTGTTTGCTGCAGAAGCTGTGAGTCACCCCCCGGATGAACACTGTTGTGTTTGCCTGCCTGTGAGGTGGCAGGACCTGGAATTGTCGTACCCGGGGCTGACTAGTGGAGAAGACTAACCACTGGGGTGTTGTGGTGAGGAGAGTGATCTGTGGAATCACACGAGGCTCCTGCCTAGGGCTCGCAACCCTAGTATCGGTCGTGGAGTGGCCTACGCAGCGTTGCTGATTGGAACCTGCCAGCTATCGGCTGGATTTGTGGTTGACGGCCTCCACGACGGTGCACCCAGTGGGACTGTGATTTGGCTGGCCTGTGGCCGGGGTAGACTCGCCGAGGGAATCAAAGGATTCATCGTAAGGCCACAAGAGAACCAGGACCACTCGTCCTGAGCACCGTGAACATCCAGGGTCTTCAGAGGAAGACCACATTGTATATTCTAGTGTTTATACCTCCCCCGTGTGATCATTTATATATTATTTATGGTGACGGTTATAATTATATATTTAAGTTTTTGCCTTTGTCTCCCTTCCCCTTTAATTTACTTGCGTTATGGAGCACACCTCTTGAAAGCCACTACTAGCTTGGGGCCGGATACCCTAACTCCACTAACATCAGAGAAAGAACCCTGTTGTGACCCCAGAGGGCCGTAACAGGCACTCAGTTTCCACCTGTGTCTCCTAGTGCGTGTGCCCCTTGTGTTAAACAGCCTGTCTTTATCAACCCTGTCGATTCCCTTGAGAATCTTGAATGTGGTGATCATGTCCCCCTAACTCTTCTG